ATGATGATGATGATGATGATGATGATGATGATGATGATGATGATGATTCGGTTGCAGCCCTTTCTCCAAAAGAGTGAGTGATCAGTGAAAAGTGTTGACCGACGTCTTACAGGGACACCGGGACACCCCGGTGTCCAATGTGGTCTTTGGATCATGGACTGGACCTTGTTGGACCTTCCATTAAACAGTTCCATTCTATCCTATTGGTGAACATCTTTTTGGATGGTTTTGGGGCACTTCGGACGGTGCCACAACCACTGCGGCACATCTCGGCTCTTCACGTCGCAGCCTCCAAACCTCGAAGCCATTCGCGAAGCAACACCGCCTGGAGCACCGTGGGGAACCACAGTGGCCCCACAACGGCTTGGAAGAGGAAGAGAGGGACGAACCCTAGCGAAAATGTGGGATGAACTAGCATCGTTTTGTTGAGGATGGGAGCACTTGAGAAGTAGAAGAGGTCCACCCTCCATCCAAACATGTTGAAGTCGCCTAAGTACAAGTGATTAAAAAGATATGAACATAGGCGGAAGGCATACAGATTCGGGTGCGCGGGTTCCGAATGGCCGGGTCTGCGGATCTTCGGGTTCTTGTTCGGGTTCTTGGCAAACCGCAGGTGACTGTGCTGCAGTATCAAACGGAAGGAAAAAGACATTGAGGATTCATGAAAACATCCCAGTCGATGCAACATGCAGGAACGGACCAAGGGTTTGAGTCGATGCGAGTGGCCTTGCCTAGCCCTGCACTCTTTATGACCATGTGACGCCATGCGATATGAAATGCAGTACTAAAACATCCCAGGGACCAACTTCCTCTCAGGGACCAACTTCCAACTGTCTGAGCTTTTCTCCACAGCACTGACCAAGTCAAGCGCCAAATCTTCGTTCTCAAACGCCCCACTTCTCACCCGAAGGCGGTGCTTTGCCCGTCTCCTGAGCCGACTTTTCACGGAACATGGGGAAGTCCGTCTGAGCATGTCTGACCCTCTGACCACCCACTAATCAAACCAATTTGGTGCAGTAAATAATGACCTATCCAAGTACATGTCCTGTGTGTTCCGTTTCTTTTCATTTTACCTTCTACTTGCCCCATTCTTTTCATGCGTTGGTCCTATTCCTTTCTTACTTTTATAGTCTAATTTCATGGTTCTTACCTTGTGTTTTCTCTTTGCTATGTTTTCCTTATCCTTGTCCTGCTCCTCTTTGCTATATGTGTCTGTTTTCTGTTCCGTTCTCCGTTTCTGTTTTTCATGTTATTTGTGTCGTGCCCTTCTTCTTGTGCTTTTCGCTTATACGTGGGTCTTGTCTTTTCATGTTATGTTGAGGTGTTTCTTTCTCGTTTCTTTCCCTTCTCGCTTCAATATATGTTCGGTTTTTGTCCTTACATGATCTATTAAGCCACAGCGGAGTGCAGTAGGCAAACCGCCTTTGCGCTTACTGGTGTGCTTTCCTGTCATTGTTAGTGTTGCTTTGCCCTTTACTAAGTCGTGTGCCTTTTCCATTTCATTAATCCTTTTCCTGTTTCCGTTTCCTTATTATTCTATATCTTTACTGTTTCATGTTCTTCTCCTTTTTGTTGACCTGTTTCTGTTTGTTTTCTATTATACGTACTGCCTTTGCTATCCTTCGCTCTTTTCTCCGTTCTATATGCATTTTGTGTTCTTTCTCTTTCTCCTTTCCCTTTAATGTTCATTTACTGTTGTTTTCTTTATCCTTTTGCTCAATTCTTGTCTCAATCCGTGTGTTTTACCGTTTCACTATTTTCCTTGTTTGTTTTCCTGTTCCTTATTTTCCTTGTTTGTTTTCCTTTTCCTTGCCTTCTCCTTATTCTGTTCCTCTTCCTCCTATATGTATATACATATTGCTTGTCCCAAATATGATTGCCTTCGTTTGTGTTCCATTTTCTTGTTGCTTTGTTCTTTCTTGTTCCTAACTGGGGGTGTGGTTGCAAACCCTCTTCGAAGGGATGGTTCCAAAACATGTTTCTTCTTTGAACGCAAGCGCTACAGGAGGCATTGATGTTCCTGCTTACCGCACGTCTCTGGCATTTACCTGGATTATCGAAGCGGCACAAAAAATTGTCTTTCAAGAAAAAGGCCGCTACGGCGTCGTTTCCCAAAGCGGGCGTTATTTGTTGTGGCCAGGCGGAAACCAGCAGAAACCAAAAGAAAACTGTGCTTTTAGGCGTCCAAACGGCGTCTTTCCCCATCCACGTACTTTGACATGCTTGCAACCTCTAAAACGGTTTTCACTTAAAAATGCATCCAGCGATTTCGTTTTGGCCGATTGAAGATCCAGATGTATACAATTAGGCCCAAAAAATGATCGAAAACGTGACATGTGCATGAATGTGAATAGACCGCGTCGACCGCCAGCCACCAGGGACGCCACCGAGGAGCCGCGTCCAACCAGGACTCCAAGGCCGTCTTGCGGCGCCCCAACTCGCTGCGGCTAGCCATCTCGCCGCGCACGGCGCGGCTGTCCGCGTCGTCCGGGTCCCAACGGTCCTTGGGTCGAGGTCAGGGGGTGGAAGACGAGGTTGAGGGGATCCAGTGTGCTTCCAAGTGCATGACGTTCAGCTTTCAGACACAACATCACTCAAAAGGACGAAAACATGTGAGAGGCCTTAAAGAAACAGGCAGTCGCAAAAGAACAACATGGTGGCTCGGGCCGAGCTGCTCATTTACACGCCTCACTGACGCTCACTTTGTCTCTAAGCGGTTGAACTGCACCAACTCTGGATTTCTATCACTGGGTGTGCGTTACAATAGGGAGACTTCCCAGTTCAACACCTTGGAAGAAGGAAAATAGACCAGCCCACCCATTGCGCGATCCAGGCCTTAGGGGGTCTCCCGACTCAACGACACACCGCGACAAGAACACCACCGACAAGCGTGGGCAGTCCAAGCCCAAGCTCCAAGCAAAAGGATTCCCATTCTGCAGCATTTTCAGACTTGGCTGCGATGAATCTCCGCACTTGGCCTGCTAACTCAGCTTGTTGGGCCTCCAGCTGCTTGTCACTCTTCACCTTAGTCGAAGTTGGACTTCTGATGTTCTTGGAGGCTGAAAAAGACTCGACATAGAGAACGCCCAGCACTCTCTTGGTGAGGTTGAAGGAATGTTCCACCATGTTCCACATAAATCAACCACCCCTCAATGAGAGTACCCGGCTTTGGGTCGACCCACCTCTTATCTTCTTGGGCGAGCTTTGCTGGCCACAGGTTGACCATGTGGATCACCCTGCTCTCCAATCAAAGAGGTCCAATGTGCTCAAAAAGGTTCAATGGGCTCAAAGATTTCCTCAAGCCAATCCGTTCCAAATACCGATCCCAACAGTTTGCCCATGGACCTTCCAACCCCTCGTAACGAGGAATAACCATTAATAATAGTTACATAACCATCGAATCATCCGTCCACTTCAGGCCTTCCGCCCAACCAAAAGCGCTCGAAGGAACCCTGCACGGGTTGTCCCGCCCTTTCTTGCCGAAGCAAGCGTCCATGCCGAAGCGGTTGGAGTCCATGAATCCTCCATACTCCATCTCGTCCTGCGTAACGACGTGACGCGTTTCCCCGGTTTTCGCCCGTTTCGTCGGTGTTTGTGATGGTTCGTCCGGCTTCTTGGGTGCTATACGGAGTGCTGCGGGCAGGAGATGGGCAGCCCGGCACAAAGACATCGAACTAAGCATTGACCCAGTGTTGAGAGGATTTTCAGTCATCTTTATATCAAAGGATTGCAGGATGAAGGAGGGTGAGAGATCGACATCTTTGGCACTCAATTTGACCTAACAATGCAAGACCAGACTCGTGGGATTGGAGGTTCCTTACCAGCAAGAACACTGACATTTGGGATGAACGCCACTGGATTCTTCAACCTCCCTTTCAAGTCATGGACTATCTCCCACTACCTGATTCTTTCTGTGACTGGACTCAGGCTCGGATTATGCCATCACGTGGCATTAGCGGCTAATAGTGGCATCACCGGCGTGAGAAACACCAAAGCATCACACTGCATGTGCACCCCCCCAAGTAGATATACAGTAGTAAAGGGTCTGGGAAGACAGCCCTTTTTCAACGGGACACCGCTTTTCAAATGATTCCTTTTGGGACACCAAGCTGTCGCTGTGGCCTCCCTTCTCCGTAGCGGGAGCTCAACCCTAGCGATGCCGGGCTTTGAGCCGATCGAGCCAGGGGGTCTTGGACCTCGAGCCAGGTGCAAAACTCCAAGCAGGGTCACTGCACGGCGAAGAATTACACGACTTGAGAAACATCCTCTACCAAATCTTCGAAGGTACATTCAAATTACAGGAGTCCATGCTGGAACCAAACCTGCAAACGTCTCATCCCTTCGACACTCACAGTTATAGAGGTTAGGAGGCTGCTCGATCCCGTCACTCGGTCTCCTCGTCAGCATCCACTTGAAGCGATGGGAGCTTGGCCAAGGAGGCAAAGCCTGCGTTTGGGGTGCTAATGTGATCTAATGTGTGCACGCAATCCGCCGTTCGCGGGAAATTGGTGCTCCTGCAGTTGTTTGGAACATGCCCCGAACCATTGCTTCACCGAGATCGAAATACATCGGTCGAATGTTCCGTGCAAGCTGACAGAAAACGCTGTCGACTGCACGGGAGGCCTGGAGGTTTGGGGGGCTCCAAGGGAGGCCTCCAACTCGGAGTCACCAGCGCATGCGAAGAACGGAACAGGGTTAGCATGTCTCCAGCTTCAGTTGAGAGGCTCTTCAAGAGGTTGGTCTTGTAGTTCTCCGGCTGCAGAATGAAGTCTTGCACCTCAGTGATGGCTACAACAACTCACTGTCTGACCAAAGGCCACGGCAGCTGGGGTTGATCACTTGTAGTTTGCTTTGTAGTGAACATGTTGGATTGAAGCTTAGGCACTCAGAGGGTGATGTGACTGGTTTAATGTTGGTTGTACTGAGGCTGTTAGATGATGTTGGACCATGTTAGACCCGCCTCTGGTTGACTAGCTGGTTGAGTTTGCATGCTGTCGTTCTTTAGTGCCTTGCTGGCTGGTCAGTACGTAGGTGCTACGCAGCCTGGTGGCTGCGTTGGTTCTCTGCTTCGGCTACTTCGGTCCGTGGGTCTTGGCGTCGTCTTGTCGTCTTCGCGTCTTCAATGTGTGCGGGTCTATTGTATTGTGTGAAAGTCTTGGTAGCTTCAGTTCTTTGTTTTGGTATCTCTGTGTGTTCGTTTCTTTTTTAAATCTATAGTACAAATATATATTATATTTATATTCAGTGTTGATGTCTTTAGAGTGGTTTTGTGTCGTGGTGTCTTGGTATTTTCATGTTGTTTTAGAGTTGTCTTGGAATCGGAAGGAGGACTGTCGTGTCACTATGTGTCTCGAAATGTGTTCTTGCCATTGTTGTTTGCGGTTCTTGCAAGCAGCTTGCATTTAGTGTTTGTTCTTGTGTCTTCACAACTTGCGCTGAGTTTAGGCTTGGGCTCTTAGTAAGTTAGGTGCTGGATGGAGTCATAGACCTTAGAGGCTGGATGGTTTGGGCTGTTGGGATCTGGTTGTGTGTGCTGTGCTGTTCTTTATCACCGTTTGTTTTGAATGGTCGTTTCTGGTCGTCGCGTGTTTATTGTTGGTTTGTATTGATTGAGGGCTGGTTTGAGGCCTATATGGCTGGTGAAGATCTCCAAAAATTGGTTTGGATGCTTTAGCGCTTAGAGGCTTGTGGTCTTGTTAGAGGTTAGAGTCAGAGGCTTGTTATTTTTGCACGTTTAGGCTCTTTTAGGCTGGTTATACACTCTAGAAAAAATAGAGAGAGAGAGAGAGAATGAGTCCTTGATTCATCCCGGCGACTACAATCGTCTGACCTATAGCCACACATTTGTGTGTTGCTGGGCTGGTGAGGCTAGCTGCGCTGCGACCGTTGAGATTCTGCATGGCAAGCCCAGCTCTCTGCAACAAAAGAAGCACCATGAAAGCTCAGTGGCCAAGTTGGCTGGCATCGTCGAATCGGAAAAGCCAGTCTCCCTGGAGTACCTTGTGCCGTTATGTCTGGACAAAGCGGTGGCAGCGGCCACGGCAAGAAGCATGCAGTTGGCATTGCTGGACAAAACAAAACAGGTTTGGACTTCATGATAGCGCTCAAATGAAGGTGATATACACACTCCAAGTGAAGCGCCCGCCCTTACAAATGCAACCGTGTTTTTTCTCTTTTACAGTAGTTGCTAGCTCAGGGTCGCTGAGGGAGGGCAACCCCTTTGTCACAATCAAATCCCTTCGGATTCCGGCACTGACCCACCACGATAGCACACCCAGGTACTGTGTCCATCTCTCCTCGGCTTTGTCCCATTTCCGGAGGCCATTCAGCACTTTCAGCTGGCCATAGCTGGCCTCGGGTGAAAGAAGAAAACAGGCCTGTGAATTTGCAGGGCAAATTTTGTAACATACACTCCCTGATGGAAGTGGACAATGGCGTTCGGATACAGTAACCATTTCTCCCTACAAACAGGTGGAGCCTTTTCTACGTCCATCATTATTCCAGGGAGTGTACGTATATCTCTCTATTATGTGTTTTTTAATACATATGTATATATATCGAGCTACTGCCCGTTAGAAAAAGAGACTGTGTGTGTATACCGTGAGGATTTGCGTGATCGAGCTGGGTGGGCTGGATGACGAGGCATCCATGTTCGGACAAAGAGTTGCATGAAGGTTTCAGCAGCTGTTATATATATAAAGAGATATAGTTAGTATACAATATATATAACGTGTTAGTGAAACTTAGAACATCGAAATCCACTTCAAAACGACGTTTAGGCGATTTTGCATAAGAAATTAGAACATCCAAAAACGCCCACACTTAGAACATCCAGACCTTAAAATAAGACAAACCATGTAATGTAAGACCGGATGTTCTAAGTGTTGCCCGAAATGTTTTTCTTCTCTTTGCTCTGTTCTGGTCTTTGTCTGGTCATGCTCTGTACGTGGAAGCTAAAAAAGGCTCCTAAATTCAGATGTGCAGGACATGTGTGAGAACTATTCAATATATATATATATATATACATACACATACATATACTTATATCTTGGAGGTCAAATAACCTCAATGCGAAACAACAACTTAGAACATATACATTTTGTCTTCCACACTCCAACTCCCCATATATATATATATACAGCATAATTATATACATATACATATACATGGTTGAAAGAAAAAATCTCTATCTTTAAAAAACATATATATATATATACAATTTATGTATGCATGGCAGCCCTGCACAGTATATATACCTTGCATTTGTTTGTTGCTGAATTCTCAGCAGCTGGCGCAAGACATGCCGTCAGTGTAGGAAAGACACGCACACAAATACAATGGTGAAACAAGAAAGAGTTGCCAAAGTTCTTGCTCTGGAAGTTGCGTCGTCCCCCTTCTGCATCACCCATTGGCGCTGAACCTCGCCTGCCGCACGGAATCAAGATCACATGACATCATATAAATAAATATATATGTATATATATGTATGTATGTATGTATGTCTGCATCTGGTAAATAGTCAGTATTATTCTTACAGATACTTGGAAAGTATTTGTTTAAGTACCTAGGGAACACACAACTTCGAACATCTAAAGATAGCTACATTAGTGAACAGGCATACCCAAACGAGCTTGATGTGTAAATATGTTACGAGTAAAGGAATGCGAACGCAAATTAATGTATTTATGTATTTGCATTTTTGGCTTTCTTGGGAAACGGGTAGCTTAGAACATTGAGTAGTTGAGGGTTATACCATACATAGGCTGGCACAAAAGTACCTTGGGAACACGCAACTTAGAACGTCTAAAGATATCTACATTAGTGAACAGGCATACCCAAATGATCTTGTTGTGTAAATGTCTTAAGAGTAAAGGTATGTGCATGAACATATTGATATATTTGTATTTATATTTGCATGTTTGGCTTTCTTGGGAAACTGGTGACTTAGAACATTGAGTAGTTGAGGGTTAAACCATACATAGGCTGGCACACAAGTACCTTGGGAACGCACAACTTAGAACATCTAAAGATATCTACATTAGTGAACAAGCATACCCAAATGATCTTGTTGTGTATATTTTTTAAGAGTAGAGGCCGCTTGTTGCTGATCCGATCTCTTTCGCTCGAAGACTTTAGTCTGCCTGCACCTCGGCAGACTTGCCCATGGGGCACTGTCTAACGAGCCTGCCTTTTGCACTCTTTCGTGTATCCTTGGGGGATCATTTTGGGGTATCGTTGTATGATGCTGACTTTTTGCACTTTTTAATGACATCAACCTACTTGCAAGCACACAACCCCTGTCCAAACCGACAGGCGGGCACCTTGTTCCAGATTCTCGCCTTTCCTCATTGGCTGGGGCCAGCCCATGAGCCCAGAGCCGGGCCACGACACAGCCCGCCAAACGCAAGCAAGAACAAACCAGTTCATGAAGCGATGCCCTTCAGACCTTTGAGCACAAATGCTCCGAAAACTTGCTGTAGCAGGACGATGTAGCAAAATGAAATCAAAACAAATCGAGTAACTAATGCATGTAACACTCGAGGTCTCGTTCTTTTTTGGACGCCCCGTCCCGTTTGCCAAGGACAAGCAAAAATCGCGCTCTGGGATGAAACGCCCTTGTAACGGACGCTAATTTTGCGAACGACGCACATGTTCTTCGCTGCCCCGTGTCAGTGGGATCCCCGTTTGCGCCTCAGCACGCGCCGCGAGGATGAGGTCGGTTCCCTCGTGGTCCTCCACCCGGCCAACCTCGGGCGTACGATGCGCTCGCTGTGTGCGCGTCTCGGCGCTGGTGCGCGCCTCTCGGGGGTGCTTTGGTCGCAACGGCTGCAATCGCAGGGGGACCTCGCCGCGGCGCCGCGGTCAGCGTGCAGGGTCTGCACGGGCTTTGCGTTCCCCGCCTGTCGCGGCCTCTCCAGAGCTTTGCTCCGGTAGCGGTGTGTTGGGGTTGCCTGGCCTGGGCGCAGCACGGCTCGACTGGTTTGGTAGGCAACAGGTTCGACTGCCTGCCGATGGCTTGCCATGGCCCTCACGCTGGTTGTCCCCTGGCCGAACAACGCAGCCATTCAACTGACACAAACGCGTTTTGTATAGCATTGAGTACGTGGGCTGAAACAACCCATTGGTGTGAAAATGGTCGTTTACACATCCTCTGCCTTTGACCGGTGATCTGTGCAACAAAACATGGTGTCATCTACCGTCTGTTTGTTTCGTCTTTTCTGCGGGCCCGGTTACCTCGGAACCGTGGAAGAACCTACTTTTGCTAACTTTTCGGAAGTGCGTGTTCCGCAGACCTCGCATGTCGGCGTCTTGTGAGCAGCCACGACAGCTGCGCTCACTTCCTCGCTTCCGTCACCTGCCGGTCGCCCGCGCGTCTGCGTCGGTGGCCTGTGCGCTCCCTGCCTGGGCTGGCGCACGCGGCCGCAGGGCCAGGTGCCGCACCGGGCCCGGCACCTCTGCTGTGCTCACAGAAGCTTTGCCTGCGGCGCGAACGCTCGACGGCGCAGGTCTCTGTGCAGCGTTTGCGTTTCCGTTTAGGCCGTGGCCGCATTCGTGCGCTAGCTCCAGTTGTGCCCAGTTGGGTTTCTGCATGCGGACCTGTCGAAACGGCCCGAAGCACTTCTCTGGTGCGTTCACATTTCTGTGGCCTTCTTCTTCTTCTTCGGGAAACGCTTGGTTTGCGCTCCCGTGTCCTGGCGGCAGTGTGTCTTTCGGTTTGCGGTCGACTTTGTCGGCTGGGGTTGGGCCTTCTCCTCCTCGCTTTCCGTCACGGCGGTGCGGGTCGCGAACAGGTCGTCCTCAGCTGGGCACGGGTGTCCGGGACATCGGGGACGTCGTCGTTGTTGCTTCAAAGAACGCCCCCCCACGGCAAACCAAAAAACAAGGGTAACCCTGCAGTCTCTCGTCAATGTCCAGTGTGCGCAGGATGTTCTTCAATTCAAACTTCCTCTGTGTCAAATCAAGTGCTGCTTTGGATTCATCACCTCAGCCATGAAAGCGCTCACAGAAGCCAACTTAGAACATACACACATATATATAGAGTTGTCCCAATCTCGTGTCTTTGTCTCTCTTGCTCTCTCTCTACATATGTGTGTACATATAATGATACATATTATTGCAAATCATATACTTGGGTGACACGAAAGTCGTCAAGTGGCCTTCATAATGCCACCTGCCAATGTCTCCGAAGGTGCTAACCACACTTGATCCAAGCCATGCGAATCACACGATTGCACCTGGCAAAGCAAACTTTCAATGCCAAGCATCCCCTCGTCATTTGCCAGCTTCTCTACCTTTTCAGGTAGTGCCATGGCGCGTTAGGAAGGTTATGCTCTGGCCCGTGTTGCCCTTTGAGCCAGAACTCAGGCATATAAAACTATACATAGTACATTTATAATATACTGTCTATGAACTATAGCTTATATACATGTGTATTTATATACTGTACATATATATACTATCCTGGTATCATGATATATAAAGCTTTGTGCATTCATGGTTGATATACCATAAAGTGTTCTATGGTACGTTCTATTTGTTGATGGTATCACGCTATGCCCTGCCATGATATCATGATACCATGATATATACAAGCTGCTATCCAATGTTGATGATATATGATCAAGTGTTCTATGTTATGTGTTCCCATGCAGACTCGGCCGAGTTATGTTCCTTGTTCTGATTCTAAGTAAGGCCCTTGTTCACATACACCACCCTTGTTGCGGTATCACCTCGCTGTTTCTAAGTTCCTTGTTCAGCAGGGTATGTTGTTTTTCTTTGGCTATACACATAATTTGTGATGTTCTAAGTTCCCAAGGTTGGCATGTTCTAAGTTCAATGTGCCTTCCATGTTCTAAGTGTACATCAACAAAAACTGACATTCCCAAACAATGCTCTAACTTTCACTTCCTCATTATATATATATATACTATACCAGGGCCCCCTGGTTTGGGGTGTCTAATTATAGCTCCTTAGAGGTTGAGGGGTATCCATTAACCACCCCTTAGGGGGCCCTGGTATATATACATGAAGGTTGAAAGAGTATGAAAGAATGTTGCTCATCTCTGACTGCATGTGTCTCCTCGATTGGTAGGATCACAAGAGGCCGCCAAACCAAGAAAGCGTCATAAACCAATTCTGCAAGCTGTTCATAGTGAACCAGCCAATCGTGGTCCATCTTCCAAACAATGCCTGTATTTTCCTGTATTCATCACTCATTTGTACTCATGTCCCAAATCACCTGAACTCTACCCATGGAGGGGGTTAAGAGCCTACCGTCAGCACCAAACCAACATGTCTGGTTGCACCCGTCATCAACCATTCCGCCCTCCTCAAGAGCCCCATTCCCATACTAAGCCCATTGACATGTCCAACTTGCATGGCTTCGTTGTGTCCAAGCCGCCGTGGGCACCTCGCCCTTCTCCGGCGCGTCTTTCTGTGTCGCGAAGAAGTCGAAAAAGGCCACACCACCGAGGCAGAACGAAAGCAAGGTGGGCAGCGATTGGGATCGCCCCATCGCTTCGGTATGGAAGATGTGACAGGAATGGGGTGCTTGAAGGAGGTTTACCTGAGCGACAAGGTAGATCAATGGATGGCAATGGTATCATGTGAGACTTCGTGTCTTGTCCCAGCACCCTGACTTCGGAAGATGGTCGAGGACTTTGGAAGGCCAAACTTCCTGTGATAAGTCTGATCATTGTGCACCACAAATAGCACGGACAGGCTCACCCTGTGGCAAACAAGAAGGCACCTATATAAATTAAACCTTGAAAAAACCACTGGAATGCCTCCTCAGTGGCGAGAGAGAGAGAGAGAGTGCGGTGGCTTACCCCTGAGGCGTGAAGGATCTGAAGGGAAGACGACACCCTGGAAGCTTTCTGCTTCCCAGAAGAGAAATGAACAAAGGACCTAGGACCTTGTTTGTTGATTGGTTGGCTTTCAGGGCGACCGGGTTCCAAAAAACCAGTAGATAACAAAAGCTGCGACCAAAGAACATGTGGATTCCAACAGGTGATTCTAAACTGTCAAATATCTGTCTGTGCTACCTGCCAGTTATTCACAGATCCTATGCATCTGCCGTACGCCTTTTCTGGAGAACTTCCCCTGTGAGCTGGGCGGGGCGGGCCACACGCAGTGCTCTCACTTTGAATCTGTGCACGGACGAAATGTCCATGCAAAGACAGAGGCATATGTGACCCAAGGTGTGCGGAGCCTTTCCCGATGGAGAAACATCCACTCTTTTGTACATGTGAGTTGAATCATGTATGTGAGTTGAATCATGTTGAATCGTCAAAACCTAAACAAATGAACCGCATTCATGAGAACGCAAAGGTCCCTCTTAGCATCCTCATAGCCAAACAGTTACTATTCAAATCTATTCCAAAAAATAGACCCAAAGCATCCCAACGCTGCATGTGGGATGGAACTTGGTGCCCATGGTCGACCCCGAGACCGGAGCAGCTCGTGAGCCTCTGAGAGAGCGATCAGGGCGATCGTCAGCAAGCCTCAGAGCTGTGCTATTCGTGCGTGTGCGTGGGTGCGCTTGTGCGCGTGTCCCACAAGTATTGTACTCTCATAGCCCGGGGTGTCGACCTTCATACTGGGCTAGTCCTGCATAGCACTGCTGAGTCCTGCATCCACACCTACATGGCTTGCGGTTGCACCAACTCTGAGCTTCACGGTAGGATGAGTATTGCGACACTCACACTTGCACAATCCTTGATAGGTCATAAAATGTTTTTGTCTTGCCACGGTTTTCAATCCTGATATCAACATCAAATGGAACTGGCTTAGCACCTCGTGCCCACCCGACTCAAGGAAGATAAAGCTCCAAACTGGCTATTGAAACACCCACCGAGCCTTGCCACTTTCAATCTGGCAGCATTCTCATTTTAAGGCTCTCTCTCTCTCTCAATTGTCTCTCCATGACATTGGCCATGGACCCATAGGCAATGAGGCACTCCATCTCATTTTAGGATTTTTAGGACCGAGGAAGATTCAATAAGATTCATCAACCTCGCTAAACCTGCCCCTTTGAGCTTATGAATCTGAATCTCCCCCCCCCCCAAAAAAAATGCATGGTCTTGGCTGGTGGGCCCCCCTTCTTTTGGACCATCGTCTGACCAACCTCTGATTTGGCGTAGGCGCCCGCACGCCAAAGTCCCATGGGTGAACACCCTGCCGGCGAGGTCAGGTACATCTGGAGTAATGATAATTCTCTTAACACTTGACGTACACGCTGACTTACTAACATGCGTCCACAAAACCCGTCCCGCCTGGCAGCTTACACCCAGCAACGCATTAGCAATGACTTCGGAGGTCAAGTTCAATAGAAACAACGTTTCAGCGTCCAACATCTGCACTAACAGTGGCACGAAAGATTGCAAAATCACTGGACTTACATCTGGAAATTGACAAGGTGCTTGACCTTGTCCGCACAATGGCAGCTATACCGTACTATTCATGCTATTCTAGCATGGTGTCTGAGTTCCATTTCGGTCCACCTATGCTGATCGTAAAACATGTCGAGCGAACAACATGACTACCTGGCACAGTCTCAGAGTTCTTCAATCGAGCGGGCTATTCATCTTTTCAGGTTGTGCGACATCATGCATACAAATACTACGCACAATATAAGGACCAGCTAGGGGTCTTTGACATACTTGATTCACTGGTCCGATAGCTGATCAAAATGTTGCAGCTTCAGAGCGGTAGACCATGATAGATCCGTAGATAGCCCCTCAAAAACCAAGTCAGTTGTATAATTCTCGAGATTGCTTCGGCCACGGAAAACATACAGAAACCAACCTGGCCAGAATTCTGAAGAAGTCCCCAATTCTCGTCCAAACTGGCCAGCCGCAGCTCAGATGCATTGCTCCCTTGCCCCCCTTCACTCCCCCATCCACTGCCTCGCTAGCACATGGAGCCGCGCAGAGCGCAGAGCGTGGTCTCACCAGGCCGTTTTGCAATGAGTCACTCGGTGTGGCTCGCTGTAGATTTCAACTGGAAGTGACGTATTTTATCACATTGATTGCATGACCCTGCAAGAGATACCTATTATGTTGGCCCCCCATTGCTTGCTTGTAAGAAAGCCGATTCGGAAATGTCCGTGTGTTCGACCCTGTGCGTTTTGTTGTCGTCTAATGGGGCCCCTTTCAAGTTGAAGCCGAAATGCCGCCGGGCCGCGTTCGGGACACCATCTTTACCATCTACACCTGCAGAGACCTGCGGTGCCTCACGGGAAATTCCATCAAAACCTGCCTGGCAGCCCCACGGATACACGGCAGGACGGTCATTTGATTTGGGGCTGCCATTCGCAGCCGTGGTCCGTGTGATTGGTTGACGGGGTGAGTTGGACACGGCATGAGAAGCAACGTTCGCCCGTGTGCTCGCCCTCCCTGTCTCACGTCCGCAGGGGGGGGGGGGCATTAACTCACCGTCTCTTAGGAGGTCAGTTGAGCTCGAAGGCGTCAGGTTTCGGCTCTCAGTGTGCTTGTCAGTCTGCAAGCCGTTGACGTCTTTACTGCGGGAAACTTGGTGCTTTACAAAGCAAAGTTTCTCTCAGAGGAAGGGGGCAGAGCTGTGAACGTCCAGAATACCATTGACTGGCGCTACTGAGGAGGTGAATACAATATGGCGTCATAGCGTGCCCTTCCAACAGCTAAACTAAACTGTTTGGATGCCCTGACCCGGATCCTCTCACCAACCTTCCAGATCCTAAAGGTCCAAGGATCTCTACAGTGAGCATCCGTCTTCGCTCCCATCCGTAAGAGTGTAACCGGAAAACGGGTCCCAAACAACTTGGATCTAGCATGATCTAGTCAGTCAAGACACTTGGAGCTACCCAAATGATACAACATGTTTGCTTTTTCCGTGAGCTCAGCAATGCCTTCGGTCGCAATACTGCCTTGGGCAACTTCGCGACAAAACTATGTTGGGTCAAGACTTTGGTCCTTCACTTGCCACCTCTGCCACAGGAACCTTCGGCCTTGCATGGTGATTCTGCAAGTCAAATAGCCACCAACCAGCTGCTTCCAAGGGGTCACCCATGGACAATCCTGCATTACTTATTATAGGTCTCCATTGGACATCCATTGGAAGTGCTAGGCAGTATCTACTTCAGGGCCTTTCTGCAAAGTCACTTTCAATCTCCAAGGTCTTGACAGTCGAAGCCGGCAGAATCTGCCACACGCTATAACGCATCCAGTTTCGATGCCTCATGAGAAACCCTCTTGATGGTCTTTCCGTTGCGGTTTCTACCACTTTCCCCTCATTTTTTCTCACTCTAGCTTCGGCTCTGCCTTAATCGATCATGGAAGCTGAACACCTTGTGGCTGCTCTGCGCTCAACCACTCAACTAGAATGGTCCATTTAGAGGGTCACGAACGACAGCGCTTTGGCTTTCACTGACCTCATTTCAGCATCAGCTTGTCCATGCCATCTGGGGTCAGAAACTCGTGCTTCGGGCACAACCTGGTCACATCGGCGCTCGCTTGGGTCCTTGGACCGCTCTAAACCATTAACCATGGTAGGTTGACCTCCCTGGTCGTCTATTCTGTTCCTGGTCGGTGGGAAAAGCCAGGTCGTCTCCTGGTTTTGACTGGCAAGTTGGATCAAACCACCTTAAAGCATCTTAAACCATCTTGGACCTGTTGCCATCTACAAGCATCAAGTCGTGAAGGCTCTGTAGCCCATGTGGCTGCCATGCAGTGCTGGACGTCCCATTCCATAGCAGGGGAATGCAGGGAAGCTTGGACTAGAAGTTGTCCGAGGTAGCTTCCCCCACCCAAGCACAGGAGAAAAATTAACACAACCCCTTCAACAATGTTTTGAAGAAGGAGAAAGTCCAACCGTTGCCAAAGGAGGTCAATGGCATCGGGACGTGACTAGTGGACCTCACAGTATGGCTCTGGTGAACGCTGCCAAAGCCGACCTCTATACGATAAACATGGTGCTGTGATGTTCTGATCATCTGAGCCCTAAGTCTGGCTTGACAAAATCAATCAGCATGCTTACAGATCCCGTAGCCCAGTCAGTCATAGAAAACATGCCCAGTTGCAAAACTGCTGCTTTAGGACTCCTACCTCGGTGGGGTCCGGCTTCCATGGGGGAGCACAGGTTTGCACTCACAAAGCTTTCCGAGGAACTCTTCCGTCAAGCGGGGGCAAAGAACATCGTTGCATTGCGAGCTGCTGCCCTGGCGTGGCGGTTTGCGCATCTCCGCGGAGGATGTCACCGACAGCGCTGAAGAAAACACTCTTCCGTTGTACCAGCAGGGGAGTTTTTGTTCACTTCAGCCAGTCGGAGTCGGAGTGCCTTTGGTCCATTTTGGTCCTACTTCCGTGGATCTCTGGTAGCTGTGCTGAGCCACAAAGAGCTAACTTCTTTACGTCACTCTTCCCATGTGCCTCACTTCGCAGAACAAACTATCTGGGGTGTAGCCTCACATGTCCTCTCTTTCCATCTGTAGCAGCGTGGACGGGCGCTCAACAGCGCTGGTCGCTTCCCGGATCCCTCTCCAGGGCACCGCTGCGCCTTGACACCAGGAGTTAAGCTCCATCCACCTGGGTGTTGCTCCGTTCACAGGTTTTCCCCAGAAATCGCAGGAGTTCGGTGCCATGGTGAGCGGAAAAAAAACCGTGCGCGCGTTCGAATGATCAAAGGAGAAACACACCAGCGCCCTCCCAAAAGTTCATAGGCAATCCAAGACCTTCCTTTGGGGTGGTCAATCACCAAGCCCACCTAATGTTGACTGTTGATGACTGTTGCACAATGACTAGAAAGCACTAATGCTAGCACTTATATACTTATATTATATATTTTTAATACTAACATGGAGATGATTGACCATCCAGAGTAACTTGGACTCTGGATGCGTCAAACCCCCAGGCCTGAAGAGGCTTCACAATCCATGTCTGGGGGGTCGTGTTCATGACATCTGAGTGGGTGGATCCCTTGTGCATCAAGAGTCTATACTTAGGGTTTCTATTCATCAACAGTCCAATTCTCTTGACCTCTTTGGGCCGCTCGATCGGTGTTGCCACCGAGCCAAGCGATCGAAATGGGCTAGCCTTGAGGGGGGTATGTTTTCAGAGAGGGAAGAGCAACAAAGAATTGGTGACATACTTGGTTGACCTACATGGGTAGTCAAGCTACATGATGGACCGGGGCTTCAGGCTTTAAGTTTGAAAGACTATGGGATGCTTCGCTGTCACCTCCTCCTCCCGTCGATTCCTCGTTACCCATGAAGCAGCACAACCAGCAGGCCTTCAACCAGCGCACTCTGACCCAACATGGAAGTGAAAGATCATTTTGCCCTGAGATCAGTAATTGTTCCAGGTCTACTTATATTAGTGAGCGGGAGAGTGAACATTTGCAGCTTGGTGCTAATTCTCATCAGAATTCGAAGAAATTCGCTCTGATCATGACTGACCAAGTGCTTCAGTTTTTACTGAGAATACTGAGTGACCACTTTGGCAACTTTCACATCCAGTTTCACTGAGCCATTATGCTGTTGAGCTTCCCGGCCATCGTTCACCAAAATGGCGAATGGCAAGGTCCATCCATCAACCTGAGACCGTTTGAAAACACATTTTGAGGTCTTCCGGTCTTCCAGGGTACATCTTACCAGCCATGCCGTCCACTTCCTCGAGAGTATGGATGACTGATCAGTCTCAAGAAGTCCTGCGTCCAAACGTGGCTGCAAGCCGACGTCGCCCGGTCCAGCGCTCAGCCTCAAGGGCTCCCTATTTCTTCGGCTCGAAATCCTGGAACCGCGTTCACCACTTTTCTGGAGGGCCAGCCAGTACGGCACTCGCCGGCCAGCAGGGTTGAAAGGCCCACAGAAAAGAGCACAGCAAGATTGGCCTTCAATTGAACCAATACACTGCCACGTCTGTTACTACGTCTGTTCAAGAGCTCAAAAGGGAAACGACGCTGCTCCCCTGAGCATCTTGCGATCCTACGACAACAAGGCTTGGCGTCCCTCACCAGCCAGCTCTGCCAGTCGCATCCTCTCGCGGCGCGCGAGCGCGAAAGCCACCGCACAGCCGGGGCCAAGCAAAGGCGTCAGCAGCAACGCTAGGATGGAGGATAAAGTATCACAGGTCATCAGCACGTACAAGAGCAAAGCCTGCAGTCTTGTGTTATTTTTCCATCTGCCGGTCTTGACAGCACTTTTGTGGTGATTGATCTACCATGTGTGGGTTGATGATCCTCCTGGTCATAACTGTTCAACACGTTCACCTCACATCCAAAATCCAGCAACTGAGTGAACCGTGTCCTTTTCCCATAGCAGTGTTCAGCATCGCATAGAAGGACGGTCGGTGTTCATGCTATTGAGTGACAGTCTGTGTTCATGGTATTGAGTATTGTTTATATAACTACACTCCTGGCTCAGCATGCGAACATGGTTTCCCAACTCTCCAAGTCCACATCTTCCAACGCCCGGGAGAATGACGAGGTGCCAAGGAAAGCACCTAGGCAGGTCACTAGACATGAACCATGAACCGAGCAATTCTTGGAGGACATGGGGCGAAACATTCGAAGACACAAACATTCCATATTCTTTTCTCTTGTGATCAAGGATGACACTTGGGAGCCCAACCCCTTTTTCATGTCCTAATAGCTGAGCCAAGGCATCTTGCAAAGGACCATGATCAAACCCAAAGGCCAAACTCTTCCCCGAAAGAAACTTCAATCGACCAGCCCACAATCACCTCGAAAGCCCATATCACTCCTAAAGCCATACCATGCCACACCCATGTCAACAATGTAAACGTAGAAGGCCCGTTCATGTCAAGCTACAGTATCAGGGCCGCTCAGCGTGTCATTTTTGAAAGATCTTCCAACCATACCATATTGCTTAATCTACAAACATGTTCTATCTTCCAATTATTAAGCAATCCCACAAATGATAGAATGGTTATGTTCATCTTGTTTCATGTATTTTCCATGAGTTTTTCCACATGGTTCAAAAAGGTCTATGGAATGACATTCATCCGCTCCCCCTTCCAACTCCACCTCCGCTTTCACCTCCGCGGCACGCCGGAGTCCACCGTCATGAAGGCTACGGAGCCGTGGGCCTTGGGTCCCCAAATGGCGTCCAGGAAGTCGGCGGAGGTGGAGAAGGCCTGGAGCCCCTGGTAGATGAGAAAGTAATATCCTACCAGGCGGAGTGGGCTCACAGGCGCTTCGACGTGCGGGGCAGGCTGGCGAAGCGCTGCCAAGCTTCTTGCTTAGATGCCAAGTGATGATGCAAAAAGAGTGGTTAATATATAGAAAGGTTCCTATCAGCAACACTGACACTTACTCACTTGCTTGAAACAAATGGTTGACGCATGGGGCCTGGTGATTGAACCATGTTTCTCCGTAGCTCTCTCCAAATAGGCAGAGCGGCAGAACGATGTTCACAAAATGTTTGAAAGGGTGAATTATTGCCTGCGTTGTGCATGTGTATATACATATATATATATATATACACCTACACTCCTGGCCGAAGCTCTGTCCTACAGTGACTCTCCAACGATGAAATGAACAAGGGCCAAATTGGCCAAAGGGCAGAAATCTGCACAATGTGTATATGATCTATTTCAAGGCTGTCACTCTGTTCCTCTCAATCCATGCGTGTGCGCTCCCCACCTGCCAGCTACTGGCGACCACGCACACCTGTCAAGCCCACGCCTGAATGGCCCCGCCCACCAGTGAATCATTTGTAAATCCCATGGGCCTTCCATACGTATCTTACAATAAGTAATATTGAAAAAAGATACAAAGAATAAATATATAGTATATACTGTAGTACAGTACCCAGTAGATATCAATCCTTCAGTTGTCTTTGGCTCTTCCCTTTGCGAAGACGCGGCCAACTCCCCTACTCTCCGGATCCTAGGGCGGCCAGCAGTCCGAAGACGCGGTAGGCTCCTCCGTCGAGGCGAAGACGGACATGTTTGGGTTGGGTTCAACAAGGCAAAAGACCTGGGCTTGTAGACCTAGATGGGCAAGAGATGGAAGGCGTTTTTGGGGTGGAGAAGACTGGGGGGGGCCTAGCAACGGGCCTGGTAGTAAGTTGGTGTGTTTGGTCTCTCTCTTTCGTGGGGGGCACCACCGAACGACAGGAGTGACACCACCTGTGAAGACCTGGTGTCGATCGAAAGGGTCTCAAATGGTCGACCCCGTGAACCGTCACAGGTGTTCCCCCTAAGACCTAAACATATCCCAAACATGGACATGGGACGGTCATATATGCCTACATTAGGGTGGTTTTGAGGGGTCAATGTAGTTGGCTGGCCGGGCGTAGACGGCCGGGGCATTTTGAGCACTTTTTTGCAAAATCCGTGTGGTATTTACAGCACTTTTTGTGTGTCCGCGGGGCCACTGGGGAGAGCGTTGAATTGGCAAGGGGCGTTTTTCTTTGGTATTGTGCATGTTTTTGGTATCGGCGCCTGTAAGGGGCCGTGCGTTTCAGGCGTGTTTTAACTTCACATGCGTTCACATGCATGCTTTCACATGCGTTCATGGGGGGG